GAATTTTTTCACAACCCATTTTCGATACAGTCATCGTTGTTGTTGTACATGTACATTTTCCCTCTCCTCGTTACAGAATCGCCTCGTGGACAGCATAGATTTATTCCATGAGATTGCTATGAACCAGTATTTGCAATCATGCTCGTTTATCCTGTTCTTGAATAAAGTTGATTTATTCAAAGCGAAACTATCGCATTCCAGGCTTGCTGACTACTTCAAAACTTATACAGGTGAGTTTCCTTCAGTTATTGCGTGTTTCGGGGCGTGTGCAAATCAATGAAGTTCCATACAAACCCACTTCATTAATTTACACATTTGACTCTCTCAATAGAAAAGGAAATCGGTCCAAAAACGAGGACGGGCAACCATGGTCCCACTTCCCATTAATCTGGACCCGTTTTGTGACCCTTTTAACAGTCGTTAGATATGAAAGATATGTCAGAGTGCAGATCCGAATATTGAATTAGAAATTCCGAACATACTACGTTTTTGTAATGGACATTCTATACAAGGGCATCATTCACAATGAAATGCAATTGTCAAACACAACTTGAGCTTATCAGGGAAAATGATCGATACAGATCATTTTCTGCAGGAACAGATCCCAGCTTGAATTATAATCATCCAAGTCTTGGTGTGTTATCCAATCACCGAACTCGCACTTTCCTGTCAAAAAGTCTAAAAGTATAAATTCATCGGTACCGGTCATGTATAGCACGGATAAATCAATAAATTTGGAAAATGTACATGTTTGATACTCTCACGAAAATGGTCTGGACAACCAATATGAAGGTCAAAATATCAGAAAGTTTTAGAGAACACCTATGCCTATAAGCCAATATTTTTACGAACCTTACCCTCGCGTTCTGAATTTCTGCTCATACGACAAAATACCCAAGCATTCGGCGGAATACTCGACACCCATTTACAATAAACGCAACTTCTAGAAGCACATTTCATGATTTATTCTTAGATAATAATTAGGGCTCAAAACACGTGCCAGAGGGAACAGGGATGTGATCAGCACTTCAGGGTGAATATCGCTTGAGGATTCCTCAACGGCACGTCGAGGATTCTCTGCCCGGTCAGACACGATCTCTCGCGCGGACATTCACACTCGCCATGGGCGTGCCGTCTGTGCTCTCCGCGCGGATGTTCACTCTCGGCACTACTCTCACATGGTAGAGAGCTATGGTCGAGGAAATCCTCGACCGTTATTCACCCTGCAGCACTCCACCCACATCCCCAAACCTTATTAACACGTTGACGACATCGCGCGTTTTGGCATTTTTGGCCGCGTGGGACCAGAGCGGTTCTGCGAGCGCCGCCGCCTCACAACAAATCTGTGGATTTTGAGCTTTAAATACGCAATACTTCGATGCGACAAAATGTTTTCACTGATATTCGGTGTGTCAAACTTATTGGAAGGTACACATGTGAAAGTGCGGTCGAATGATGTGTTACAGCATTGAAAAGGCAAGTTTCACTTACTTTTGCTTTAGTGATTTCAAAATTATTTTGGACGTGGTTGTTTCGGTAAAAACACATATCTTGCCACACGAGTAGCTTTGTACTCACTTCTAATATTCTTTTTTATCTACATGTTCGTGTTAATGAAGAGAAAATGAGGAATGAACTGAACGGATATTTTCGTCCGGTCCGAAAAACCTCTGCCAAACTAAAGAATATTTGGTCATTCTATAAGCCGCGTGGTTCTTGGTTATGTTGTGGTATGGCCTAAAAAATGAACACAAAAAACCTGGGAAGAAATGGCGCGTTCAAGAAAAAACTGAATGTAAAGGGTGTGGCAACTATAGTTGCCACAATGTCCATTGCGGCGTGCAAAACGCGGCAACTATGTATGCCCACACCGATTAGATTTTTTTGCGCACATACTCGATTTCTTCCTAGGTTTTTTGTGTTCATTTTATATGTCATACATCAACAACAACCAAGAACCGGCTTCTACAGGATGACGATTAGTTTAGATTTTGACGAATGAGTTCTTGGCTGACAGATACAAAATATTCCGTTCAAATTCACCCTTCATTTTCTTTCAATAAACGCGAACAATGTGAATAAAAAAGAATAATAGAATGAAATACAAGGTAATCGTGGTTGAGGAGTATGTAGTTTTTCTGGAATAATAATTAATTCTGGCGACGCTTAGATGGAGAACATAAGGTTTGCCTTTCCTGGCAACACATTTTCGGTCAACTTCCATTCATCCGGGAAAACATTCAATTATGCATCTAAGTATTGCGTATTTACAAGCTCAAAATCATGGATTTGGTGTGAGGCGGCGGCGCTCGCAAAATCGCTCTTGGTCCCACGCGGTGCAAAAACCCAAAACGCGCGATGTCGTCAACGTGTTAATGAGTTAACGTTTGCTTTTGCTCTTCGACTCTTTTTCTGCTTAATCACCCAGGTGGCCAGTGTATCAAAACTGACTCTCACATGGTTTCGTAGACTCGTTCACCGCCCAAGAAGGAAAACGCTATTCAGTGTATTTGCAGTTACTGTTCCTCTTTTCATCTATTGAACCAGCTTCACACCTCCACTTCCTGTTCCTCTTTTCATCTATGAATCAGCTTCACACCTCTACTTCCGTTTACAAGTGTAATATTCACACCTTTTCATTCTCGGAATGTGCCGTAAAGAAAGCGCATAACATTAACATGAGAAATTGAGCAAAAGTAACGGTACCTACATTACATCTGATTTTATTGTATTTCAGGTAACAATGATTACGAGTCTGCAGCTGAATACATTCAAGGGTTCTTCACAAAGGTACGGTACTCTTCTAAATTCTTATAAATTCCTCTTATAAATTCAGAATGCACTCAAAACGAGGGATTACGTAAAGAGTGTAGAGCATTGAAGTACTTGCACCAGTGGAAGCAGTAGTCAAGGGCCAAGGTAATTAGATGTGGCCTTTTTGTTTTTAAAGGTGCGCTAGTTGCAGCGTACTGGGCTTGCCATTCCTTTCTGAGCTCCGCCTCCGCCTGTGCTCCGCCCCCAGCAGCACGCCTCGATTATCATTTTGAAAAGGTGTTCCGCTTTGGGCGGCGGTGATGTAACTTTTTGTGGGATGTGTTAGATCGAAGCATGGACTTTAGTGGCATAATGGTGGCTGTCGGTTTACATCTGCAAAGGACCTCTTAGCACGGTCCATCGGCGCGTATTTTTTCGAGTTTTGCAACCCAGTCCCAAATTCTAGGTCCCGGTGCGAGCCCCTGTTGTTTTGATTAGTGAACAAATGCATAAACATTAGACTATGACTTTTGAAGGTCCTCAAGAAACTGCTTGCGTCGCGGCGTTAGCCGAGGAGCGCGACCGTTCATTAGGCAGGGGAGATCGGGGCGCGGTGAGAAAATAGGGTCATAACTATCTTCATTTTGAAGGTCATAACCTTCTTTCAAATGCGACTTTTTGGATAGCTGTGCAAACTTCCAGAGTCTTCAAATATTCTTCTATTCGTAGGGTATCGAGTATCAAGTGGCTGTTCGCTTTTTTAAATTCCCCCGTTCGCACTCCTTTTCGTGCGTATTCGGGTTTTTAGGCTTTCGGCGGCTATAGCTTTCTTATTTTTCATTTCTAGGCAAACTTTTGGCGTGCGTGGCAACAAAGCACGATTTGCCCATTCGAACAAGCCCCTAATCCTTTCTCAAAGCTCATTTGAAAAAAGATCACACTTTCGCACTTTTTAGGAAGTTTTGCCGGTCAATTTTTCAGAAAACGCGAGTTTTCGGGATTCCATTTACCATACCCTTCTTCTTTTCGTTTTGATGGCAAACTTTTGGTACCGTAAGAAAGCACAGGGTATGACCTTTCTAATAAATGCTAGACCTCTTCTCAAAGTTCACCAGCTCATAAAATAGGCATTTAAGAGCCATGTGGCTCTTCTATAAAGAATCAGTCATTGCTGAGCGATTCACCATTCGCTTTTTTTAGGTGTAACACTGAAAAAGCACAATGAATAAAATTCTATATCTGTTTAGGCACCAGTGCCATCCAGTAGCAAAATGTACGTGCACTACACGGAAGCGACCGATACGCAGCAAATCGACTTCGTCTTCGCTGCCGCTTGTGATATCATCTTACAACTTAATCTGACACGTGCTGGAATGCAATAAATGTGATATTTGAAGTTCCCGTCGATTCATCCATACCTGGCCTTAGAACGAATGATAAATTATCAAAATACCTTGATTATTTTCTTCGGCTTGAGGTGAATTCAACTTTTCAACTATAATATTAGGTTGGTATATAACTTCTGCATAAAATTTCATTTGATGAAATTACTT